GGAGCAGAGCCTCAGGCACCCCTTTGGGCAGGGGGATACTGGGAGGAAGAGGTCAGCCCTTACCTGGTGTATGCCCGGGGGGGTCTCCCCATGGCTCCCCGGCCATGGCTGCAGGGCACAGGGTGCCCCTGGCCCTGCTGTAGCCCAGGGCAAAGCCAGAGAGTTTTAATTGAGTTTCTAGATTATCCCGGGGGAGAAATTGTAATCTCCTTAAATCCAACCTCTGCTCGCGTCCCGTAACCTCCTGTCCTGCGCTGGGGAAGGGATTTACAGAGGGGGAGGGGATGCTTCCCAGCCTGCTGATGCTCCGGACCCAGCTCCCCACAGGATTTGTCCCATGGGATGTTAGGGATCTGCTCCCAACAGCCATGGAATTAAGGCTCTGCAGTAGGGCTACCAGTGGTGCTGGATGGTGCTGAAGGGAGCTGGCAATGGGTCAGTGGGGTGCTTGGGGGATGAAGATGAGCACCCCTGGATGGGAGGTGTCTGGGGCTTTGAATTGAAGCAAGTCCCCTTCCCTGGGAGCTTCCCTCCCAAAAAGCCGCATCCCTGGACTGCATGGGCCAGAGGGTGTTTGTGGATGGGTGACCTTGGGGTGTCTCCGTGCACACTCCTCCATCACATGGCCCTGCTCCCTCCTGCATATTCCCATATCTGGATACGTGCTGGGCTCCAACCCCGGTGTCTCCCAAGGACAAATGCCAGCGATGGGGCTGCAGCAGATGATGGTAGAGCTGAAATCAGCCAGTCACGCTCCTGCCTGCCCTGCGCCCTGCTTGCGCCATTGATGGAGCCTCAGCAGGGATGCAGGTTTCCATTGGGAATGGAAGGTTCCCATCCAGCACACGCCAAAAGACTCAAGAGGGGATCACCCCGCTGCTAAAAACACCATGGGAAGAAAGGGAAAAGCGGGATAGGAAAGGCAAATGTCTCCAAGGGGATTTGATCACCAAGCAGATGGAGATGAGCTGAGGGATGAAGCACCGAGGGGCTCCCATGCTGCAGGCAGCACCAGGGCAGAGCTCCACAGCATGAATTCATGGAGCAATTCCTGCTTAAACCTTAGGGTTAGAGGCAGATGGCGACGGATCTGGGCTCCATTCAGTCCTGCCGCAGGACTAATCCTTCCCAGCTCCCATTGAGGTCCTTGTCCCAAATCCCACCGGCGGTTTTCCCGTGTTCCTCGGCGCTCGCCCATCACACCCCCCCCCCTTTACTCCAGGAGCCGCGTCTGGAACATCGCGTGTGTGGGCAGCGCCTGCGCCCAGGAAATGTTTATCCTGAAGGCGCGACACGCGGCAGGTTGGGAGCGATTGGGATGACAGCCGGAGCCCATGGAACCGTGAGTGCTACGGCACCTGCTGGGAGTCAGCATGGAAAGGAGCAGGGTGAGCACAAGAACCAGCTCGGGATGGATGCACGGATCCCATGGTCCCGCAAGAGATGGGATGTAAGCAAGGCTGAGCTATCGACCACTCATCAGCATCCTCCGCTCTTTGTTGGGCTTTAAACCCACTGCTATTCCTGCTCCATCCAAGCATTAGAATCACGGAATGGTTTGGGTTGGAAGGGACCTTAAAGCTCATCCAGTTCCAACTCCCTGCCATAGGCAGGGACACCTCACACTAAACCATGTTGCACAAGGCTTTGTCCAGCCTGGCCTTGAACACTGCCAGGGATGGAGCGCTCACAACTTCCTTAGTAAAGGACTTCTGCCTTATACCTAACCTAAGCTCTATTGATTGATGAGGAATACAACCCGCATCCTGCTATCCCAGGCAATTTCTCCTGGGGTAAAGTTGCCATTTCCACCCTTCAGCAACCTTCAGCGTCGTTAAGGTGTCAGCAGAGCCCTAAACTTGGCTTGTAAGCAAAGGAAGAAGGAGATGGGGAGAAAAGGCCAAGCCATGCTTGGGCAGAGCCACCCTCCTGTCTCTACTTACCCAATGATGGCAGGAAGAGCCGGAGATGCCGAGCCTGATACCACTTCCTCCCTTCCCATAAAGGAGCATCAGGGACTTTGCCCAGCAGCACGCTGCTGTCCTGCCTGATGGCTCCCCAGCTCACGTTACAGCCTCTCTTCTTCCCTACATGTACAGGAGCTGGCTGCAGCCATGGGGACCCATCACCAGCCAGAGGGACACCCACCTTTGATGCTATTTCTAAGGGGTAAGGAGTGAAATTGCAGTCATGGCAAGGAAGAACGAGTAGGAAGCCCAGGATGCCTCAGTGGTCTCAGGGGACTGGAACAGAAGCAGCTCAAGGAGGGTTACAGAGATTTTTGGGATGCAAAGGAGCAGCCAGAGGGATGCAACACATTCAAACCTATCGGGTCGGACAGCAGGGCCAGGCTGCCACGGGTGCAGGGCAAGACCTCGATTCTTTGGTCTTGCAACTTCATGATGGCCATGACCCAAACCCCATCTTCATGTGTTTCCCAAGGGATGAACTAAAATCCCCATCCTTTTCAGCTGGGAGGCACAAACCCTCCTGACATGCACATGATACCACTCAGCATCTTCAGGACAAAGGAGGCCTTTACACTGCTCTGCTCATGGCTCCAGCTCATGGCTCTGCCCACAGCCAGCTCAAGAGTCCCAGTATCTTTTACATCCTGCATGGACTCCCGTTAACACTCCCATTCCTCAATCTGAGCCTCTTGAGGGGACATCTCCTTCATGGGAGGGGTGTACCAACTTTCTGGCCCCAGGTTTCTGCCTTTCTGCTCTACCCCAATGCTACTGGGGAGCTGGACACCCCCAGGCTGCAGACATGACCCCAAATCAAGCATCTGCAGGGTATTTTGGGGACCATCTCTATCTGCTGCAATGAAGATTTAGCACAAGCATTGCGTAACGCTGGGGTGGGACACTGCTCCCGGCCCCTATCACCATCAGGGATCAGCCACTCAGTTAATCCTCCCTCTCCCTCATACCCTGCCCATGGACACCCAGCCTGGCCCAGCAGGAAGGAGCCAAATCTCTGCCCAACATCAGCATCCACAAGGGCTGGTACCCCATAAGCTGGGGATGAGGTCCTGGGGGCCACCCCAACACCATCACCCAGGGCACCTACATCACTTGGGAAGTGCTGCTCAAATGGGGATGCACAAAGGTACCCACTGGGCAGATGTGGATGCTCATTAATAACTCCCTTCTCATTACCTCTGTTGTGCATCACTTTGTTAAGGGACCTGGTAGATGCAGACCCTATGGGCAGAGACTTGGGCACCGAAAAGGTCGTTTTTAACCCAGCAATGTCCAGCACACATCCAGTTGTGTCCCCTCCTTTGCTCCCTTGCACAGCCCGGTCACTGATGGGTGGCTCACTCAGGCACACGCTGCAGGATCACAGGGGTAGATCACAATGAAATAGAAGCCAGGAATCCCTTTTACTTTATGCTAGCCCTATAAAACCAACCCCTATGTGTGTTCCAGGACAACCCTACAATAAATAAGGTGAATGCAAAGCTTTGGTGAGCCCGGGAACCTCTATATGAACACACACAGGTTGACAAGGAGCAGGGCACCATTCCTCCAGCAAGCAAACCCAAAATGCTCTCAAGAGAAGATTCTGGGGTGCAAAAGCAGCCTCTTGCTTCCGCCCATCAGCGACCCTTGGAGGTATAAACCCAGACATCACTCAGCATCCCTGCGATGGGCAGGCACGGAGCAAAGGTGCCCTGTGGCTGGTGCAGCACCCAGGACCGGCAGCACTGGGGACAGTGGGACACAGTGACATGCCCCCGGTGAAGAGCCACACGCAGTTACACAACCCTGCCCCGGCTGCCCTTGGCTGTGTGCGCTGTGCACGCTGCTATCGACACGGCCCCGGCCGCCCTCCGACATCCCTGCAGGGAGGAAAGTTTGCAAGCGGTGTAAATGTGAGTGCACGTGAGCAGGGGGGGAACTGATCCAGCCCCCTCTGACCCCATAGCTCCTGCAGTGGTCCTCAGTGATGCTCTGGATTCACCAGCATCCCACTGTGCCCTGAGCGGTGGTGGGGTTGGGAGGGATGTGACAGTGATGAGCAGAGTAGGGGCAATGGGGAGAGTACCCACCACCAGTACCCTGCAGCTAAAAGCACCCCAAGCCTGACCCACTGGTTTTTAGGACGTGAAGGACCAGGCAGAAGGACGCAACAAGCTCAAACCTGAGGGTTGTGACACCAGACAAAGCAGCGAAGCTCCAAGTGCCCTCAGGCAGCACCTTGGCTTTTTGAACTCGCCATTTATGATGCCCGTGACCCAAAAATCACCTTCAAGCTTTTTTTGCAGGGTAGGAAGAAAAATCACCCTCCTGTTCTGCTGGAGGTGAAACGCATTCGCTGGTCCCACCAGCAGCCAGGAGCCCTCTCCTTAGCACAGCAGCAGGGATGCTTTAGTCCGTAGAGAGGGGGAAACTGAGGCACAGCAGTTGGATGCCCACATCACTGCCTTCCTCTTGGCCTGGCCGGAATTTGAGGTATTTATAAACCAATAAGGGAGCAGAAAGAACTTTCCCAATGCCAAATCTACATCCCCTCTCCTTGTCCTCCATGGAAACCGTCTGTAATTATAGGTTTGGGGTGAGGGGCACCACTGCCAGTGTCACCCCAAAGGGCTTCACCCTCCTCTCCCTCACTATGGCAGCACCAGGGACCAGCCTGTGCCACCACATGGCCCCATAGGACCCCATCCCCAAGGGGCCCTGACGGTTTGATGCTGAATCCCCTCACCCTGTGTAGGGGACCCCATGGTTTTGGCACACACTCCTCCAGCCCATCCCGACACGCGCTGGGTGTCACAGCCGATGACAGCCTGAGCACGGCTGACATTGCCATGGTGACTATCGACCGCTGCTGCTGGGAGGATGCGTGTGGAGATGCTGCATCAGCACCTATCCCCCCCCACACACACACACTTTAGTGACTGCAGGTACCCTCTGCTCTCCACCAGCCTCATTTCCACCCCTTTCTGCCCCATTGCACCCACAGGCAGCTTCCAAAACCTTCTCCATCACCTCACAGCTCCATCTCTACCAGCTGTGCCTCAGTTTCCCCATCCCTGCTCGTGCTGCTTGGCGGGGGGGTGATGTCCCCTCCCTGGGATACGTTTCTGTCTCCCAACTTCGGCCAGGGCTGTGGAGTCGGAGGGATGCTGAGCGAAGGCTCTGTCGCTGTGGCAACCTGCCGCGGCCGTCTCCAGGAGACCGCCCAGGGATGCTGCAGAGCCACAGTGAGAGGGACCAGGGCGGGAGAGGGAAGGTATCCATAGGGAAACCACCCCCCTTTTCCACTCCTTTACCCAAACCACGGCCCGGATCGTTGTAACAGGGTGTAAAACCACCCTGAAAACAGCCACCAATTTGGCTCTGGGAACCAGCTGAGCACCGACAAGCTCACTGCACCCCAGGCTGGAAGCAGTGATTCCAGCAGGATGCTCCTGTATGGAAAACAGGGCCCCGGCCGTTCCCAGGGACACCTGCAGGGCTGTGGTTATAATTGCTGGTAATAAGCCCATTAGCCTCTTAACCCTCATTAAGCAGCTTAGGGGGGACACGTACTGTTATACGCAAACCTGGAGGTGGAGAAGGGGCTGGTCAGGGCAAAGGGGATGGGATTTCAGTGGGTGTCACAGGGGGTGGTCACAGCTCCATCCCTCCCCTCCTGCATCCAGCCCACTCCGATGCTCTTTTCCAGTGGGACCATTGGCATCTCCCGGTGATCCAGAGGACAGGGATGATGATGACGGGGCTGTCACATCCATGTGATGAGTGTGGGTGGCCTCAGTACCAGGGTGGGGGAAGCGAGACCCAGCCAGCACCCAACACGGCGCGGGACGGTTCGAATCGCTCCAGTTGGAAAAGGGCCCGTCTTTACATTTGCTAAATTAAAGGATGTCGGTGTCTGATGCCAAGCCCAGGCTCCCTCGGAAATACAAACTAATGGCAGTGAAGAAAGTGAGCTGAAACCAGAGCAAAAACGCTCCCGTGTTATCCAGCTGCACCAGGGCAGGGTTTAAATGGCAGCTTGCAGAGCACCAACCATCACAAAGATCTCCCCTTTTTACCCCAAAATGCAACTTTGCCCCCTCTGCTTGGTCAGACAGGCAAGCCAGGCTGCCATGCCGGCGTCCCCATCCTTCTCCAAGCCTGTCAAAAGTCAAATATCCCCCTTTTTTTATGGATATGCTTGTTCTGTGCAATGGGATTTGACCAGCACAGAGTGAGATGTCGTGATTTCTCCAGCTCCGATTATTCCTATAGCCAGCTCCATCATTCCCAGCCCATAGCAGGCAGGCAGCAGGGTGCTGGCAGGGCACAGGGGCTGCCTCACAGCCCCTCACTGCTCCTCTTCCCTATGGAAATACCCGGGCTCAGGCTTGGGCTTCAATCCCTGCTGCTTCCCAGGCTCTGCCAGGGTGGGTTTGTGCTGCAGCTGAGCAAAGCCGGAGCGCGGTGCTTTGGGTTGGAGTGGGTTTTTCCTTTCCTAATTTTCTCTGCAAGATCAAATTAAACAAAGGAGCCCTTGTGGGAGCAGCGGAGGAAGGGAGCCTGCTTCCCTACAGATGTGCGTGTCCTCATGGATTGCAACTCCCGAATGAAGCTTTCCCTGTGCCTGGAATACTAGCCCAATCCCCCTCCTTTGCCTCCTGTGGTTTCACTGGTAGGAGACTGGCTCATTCTGCAGCCTCCCTGCTGGGAGGTTGTTCCCCAAATCCCTGTTCTTCACAAAAACATGGACAATGGGGCTTTTCCTGACCTCAGATTGGAGTTGTCTCAAGTGCAAGGCAGGGAGCGCTTGGCAAAGTGGCAGGTGCTAGGATAGGATAGGATGGGATAAGGATAGGATAGGATAGGATAGGATAGGATAGGATAGGATAGGATAGGATAAGGATGGGGTAGGATACAATAAGATAGGGTAGGATGGGATAAGGATAAGATAGGATAGGATGGGATAAGATAGAATAGGATAGGATGGGATAAGATAGAATAGGATAGGATGGGATAAGGATAAGGTAGGATAGGATGGGATAAGATAGAATAGGATAGGATGGGATAAGGATAAGGTAGGATAGGATGCGATAGGATAGAATAGGATAGGATGGGATAAGGATGGGATAGGGTGTGGTAAGATAGGATAGGATGGGATGGGATGGGATGGGATTAGGATAGGATAGAATAGGATAGGGTAGGATAGGATAGGACAGGACAGGACAGGACAGGACAGGACAGGACAGGACAGGATAGGATAGGATAGGATAGGGTAGGATAGGATGAAGCCAACATCTCCCAGGTTATGAGGCTGCAAAGGAAGAGAAACGCTGTGGGTCAGGAGCTGAGGAGGGGCTCCCCTCTGCCCTCCAGCCTGCAACTGAAAGAGGAATGCCCAATGCATAACACTTGCAAACACACCCAAACCTTCCAGCTCCCTCAGACTGAGGAGCCAGCACAGAAGCTGTTGCCATAGCTTTGCAGACCCCCGGTGAGTTTGGTAGCACAATCTGGACCACGGATCTATGCAAATCCCCAAGGCAGAAGTCTTTATGGAGGCATATGACAACCGAAAAAGAATAGTGCTCAGTGCTCTCCTCCCACACGCCACCCCCCAACTTCACCATCATTTAAATCAGTCTTGAGTTGGAAGAATTCAAATCAACACTGTCGTCACAGAGCCAAGCAGAGAGGTGACACAACTTGGATGCTGCTGGGGAAATTGCCCCCCTGAGACTCAAAACCCATCACTTTTTGAAGCCCCATAGAGGAAAACAAATGCACTGGCAACCCGCTGCCCCAAACCTTTCCAGCCAGGGCTGCCGGGGAGGTTTCCAACCAGCCTTTCCCTTGGGATCAACGGGAGGGGAACCATGGAGGGGGGGAAATATCCATGACATGCTGCTGAGGCTGGAGAGCCACAGTTGGAAAACAAATCAAAGCTTCCAAAGAGAGAGATGCCAAGGAGATAAGTTGTTCCCGAGAGAAACAGGACATTCCTTTCGAGGGGGAGGACGAGAGGAGGAAGGCTCCTACCACCTCTTGTATAGATACTCAGGGGGCTCTGTGCACGGCAGCCTGCTCGGGCGGCTTGTCCCCGCTGCGCGATGCTGCAAACACAGATGGCATCGCAGCTCCTGACTTCTCCTTTTTTTCCTGGTGTTGTTTTGGGTTTTTTTTACTCTAAAAGCACGTTTTCCATGTGGGGGAAAGGTTGCTGCATCCTGCCAGCAGCCAGGCAGATGTGGATTTGTTCTCCAGGCTCCCAGAGACCTTCCTGCCTATCCACACCATGCACCCAGACCCTGCGCTGTCCCAGGGGATGCGGCTTGGTATCACCAGACTCCTCAGGGCTCTTATGGGAGTCACATAGGGAAGAAGCTGAGGGAAAAGCTGATACTTTGCTATTGCAAGAAGTGCCCAAATCAGGTCCCAGACCAACCCAGAGGGTGAAGGATCGGCAGTTTAGATTTTCCTTGCAAAGAATTTATGGGTCGCACAAGCAATGGGATGGAGCTGGAAGCAAGCAGGGGAGATCGTTTCAGTGCATCCCTGGTTGCTCCCCTGAATCTGCCCTGTTTGGCTATTCTGCATCCAATTCTTCCTGCAGGAAGTTTTATACCTGTGCCCTTGAGCAGAGCCTTGACATTATCCTTTGCTGGGAACAAGCCACCTGCCTCCTCAAGGCAGAACCCAGGGAGGTAGGAGGGAGAGGAGGCAGGGGAGCAGGGTTGGCCCTGCTATAAATAACACCAATGGAAATGAAAGAGGTGAAAAAGCAGCAAACAGAAACCAATAAATCAAGGGAGATGGGTTCAGCTACGGGCAAACAGCTCCTTGTGGGCCTTGTGACCCTGCAAAATTGGGCACAAGAGAAAATGGGATCCATCGTAACAGAGCAGGATCCAGCCTGGGCATTGCCTCTCTAGGAGGAGAGCCGTTGGCAGGAACAAAACACTTGGTATCGCCCCACTTTTCTTCATTGTAAAAGATAAAGATGAGAATCGGGAGAGTTGAATTATGGAGAGTTAAATCATGGGGAGTTAAATTAAGGCACCCATTGGACCATGTCAACACAGCACTGGCCTGGCTCCTGGTGTCATCAGTGCTGGACACCCAGCCATCCCATCCCCAAAAGCACCAGCGGGCTGTGAAATAGCCTGTGTTTAAGGCAATCGTTGTTTGCAATCTGTGATCTCGGAGAGAAAAAGGCAGAATAAAGCAACCTCTCATTTCTACCAGTAAAAGGGGAAATGCAGAAGCTCAGCAAGCGCAGTGGCCAGCAGGTCACAGCCAGCAGTGCTGGAGTGATTCATCCTAAACAAGCCCGATGTAGTTAAACCAGCCTGGAGTAACACAAGGAAAACAGTCCAGAGTTTGCCCTGCTGGTGCCTGCCAAGTATCAGCCTATGGAAGCGACGGGATCATCCCCACCACTGCTTTTCCCTCAGTCAAACACATGAAAAGCATCCGGATACTGCACCAAGACACATTATAAAGCGGGTTTATTTTCCCCTCTTTTCCCAGCCCATCTTCCCAGAGCACACCATTTCCCATCCCCAAAGGCTGCCGGAGGAGCCACGGACCAGGTACCACACCGCAGCATCCTCTGGTTTCCCCTAGGAAACTCATCTGAGCCGCTTCAGTTTGGCTTGTGTGTAAGTTATTATTAAAGCTGAGCAAATAATTCAGGCCGAAAGCTCCGGGAAGAAGGTTTTGCCTTTTCATTTTCCACTCTTGAGCTGTCTGCAATTTCCCCAGTGCTCAGGGATGATTTAAAGACCTGTCTCCGGACGGGAGCACTTTGCTGCGGCGTCAACTGCGAGTGTTTGATGGCCTGAATTTCACATGCACTGATGAGGACACGCTGGACACATAAGGATGGATGAGTCTTTGCCGGTACCCTAATTAGGTGAGCAGCGTTTGCAAGCGAGTTTTGGGGGGGTTTGAATGTGTTTGAGACCTGCAAACCCTTCACGCCGAGTTAACAACCTGTTCGTTAGGCAGGGCTCCGTGAGCGCTTTCCTTTATGGATCAGCATTTTTCCAGCTGCTGGTACCCGCCTCAACACACCATTTCCATGGAGCACCTCGATCGCTCTCTTTGCACCCCAAAACATCACTAAAGACATAGGAAAAAACACAAGGAAGGATAGGACCGTGGGGC